TACTGTGGTTTCTATTTCACACAAGTTTCCTCTGAATTTCTATAATTCACATCAACTACAACATCATTGTTTCAAATGACACTACAGTTGTAACAGCTCACATGCTGATTTATACGTCTTTTGATTGTGTCATTTGAACTGATTAGAATTATACATTTTCTGATTATCAATTGAAACACACATTGAGGATTAAAAACACGTATTTTTGTTATAAAGTGAAATATTACTTTCTGAGTACTTTATCTATTGGTTCAGAACTGCTGGTAGCAAACCGCTTCCGAGGAAAACTAATAGCGTCTGCAACTAAGAGTCAACCTCTTAAATGTCTTTGAAGTTCTTGGACTAAGCCATTACGTTTTGAGTGGTAGGTGGTAGTTCAAAATCGTGTGAGTGCTTGAAGTGTAGTAGGGCAACTGTAAAGCTCAGATTTAAACAGTTGTTAGGGGTCTGTATATTTAGCTAAAAGGCAGATAAAGTTTACTATCCATCTCACAACGAATGGGTAATTCATGGTTTCAGCAGTACTTTCCTTGGTAGGTACTGCTTCTGGCCTTTGTATGAAACAGTATATACAAGTTAAAGTATGAATATCTATTTGATTCTGTTAAGATCTCTACCAAGTAAATATCAACGTCGTCGAAGATAGTATCAGGACTTACGAAGGAGCATGAGGGTTATTTCTTTGATTCATGCACCTTAAATTTCTGGTAGACTGCACAAAGGCGTAACTACTCCCACACGTTTATATTCAAACCACGCCAGGAAAATCGCCTTTCTGTTAGCTCAGTGACTAATTAAATACCCGGGTGCGAAAGTATACGCAAAGTATTGGGAACGCTCCATCGACAGTGTATCGGTACGACTACTCGATCCCTATGTGTAGATGTATCATAAATTAAAGTTACACTAACTGTATCCATCCCTCTGATACGTAGTTTTAGAGCTGTCAGTCGATCGCTGTCTTCTTCCTGAAGCTGAGCGCGTTTAAGAGAGTGGATTCTTAAGAGACTGTTTAAGGAAGTCGTACGAGACAAGGCGTCTGTAGCTACATTGTTTGTTCCAGAAATATGTTTTATATCTTAAATCAACTGTGAAATGTAGTCCAGTTGCCGAAACTGTAGTGAAGAGTATTTGTCTGAATACGAGCCAAGAGAACAGCAAAAGAGATTATGAATCGTGAGTATAGTGAATTCTCAGACATCCACAGTGTACCGAGAGTGCCTAGTTCGACAAAAGTACATTATTTATTTGCTACCATAATAATGAACCTGTAGAGGTATTGGTCCTAACAACACAATACTCAAAGCTGAACATGAAAAAAATAGGTAAATAGGAATTCAACATTCAACACAGAGAAAGTCAACAATGAAGAACGCAAGAATATTTATTCAACCGGATGGCATTGCCTAGCCTTGTAGGCGTGGTCATTCTTGTGTGACTTATCACTCCTAATAATATCAAATATATTGTTTTATCATCAGCCTAAATGTGTTCTTCGGAAACGCCAAACATTATATTAGTGACAATAATAATTGTTACCATACGATGAGTCAGAATAGACAATGATGTGACTTCCGCGTAAGATCGTATAGACTAGATTTTCACATCATGACAAATCGACAAATGTAGGATAGGACCTATTATTATGGCAGTACTAATAAGGAACTAAACCATAATTCTACAATCATAATCCTACAAATTTGGATTTGTCATGATGTGATAACTTATTTGAAAGATCTTATGCGAAAGTCATTTGGGCTGGGAGGAGAGTAACCTATGCGATACATAAAGCCACAGGTCATATAGAATGACGATGCCCTCATGACCGAGCCATGCCATTTTCGACTGATCGTCCCAGCGTTCAACAATAGTGACTTCTCCGTGTTAAATAAACACTGAGGATATTCTCAGTCATCTTATTTTTAGCTTCGAGGATCGTGTGGTTAGAGTCATTACCACAAAATACTTAAGATAGAGTAAATAAACCTTTTATCATGAATGATCTGTTTTCCTCTTATCGCCTGTAAATTGAAGAACGGATCTTGTAGATGATCACTGGTATTAGTGGGAAGTGTCAACGATGTAGCAGGAGGTTTACGGCTGAGCATTTCCTGATTTTACAGAGGGCTTGCCTTAGGGGTTGTGCTAACAAATTCAATCAAGGTTATACGTTTCTTGTGGTTCATAACAGATCTTTCTGTAGTGGGCTTCTTTGAGGAGTTTCGGATAGCCTCAAACCATGATAATGGTCAAGGAAACTGGTATTGCAGGAATTTGTTTTATCCCGATTCTGTGTAGATTGATGGGTAGGGTTTTGATGGTCTTTTGAATCCGATAAGCAGATGCAGCTAGTTCATCTACAGAGTTATTCTGAAAGAAACAACAACCAATTGCATTTGTTTGGAAAGCTTGAACAAAAAGAAATTGCTAGGATGGCCTTCGTCAAGAGTTTATCGACCATTGGTCCTTATTGTCCGTAGTAACATTTCTGTCGGTGAGTCGTGTCGCAAATTAATATTTTGAAAGAGTAGGTTTAACCTATGTAGATCGGTCAGATCTTTACGTTCATGGAAGGTTTTTTTCCACCATCATAAGGTTCAGGAACATCACTTGTCAACATGCAAGTTGCAACAAAGTTGTTGAACTCTCGCAAGAATCCCCACACTACCGAAAGGAATCGAGCATGTGGGTATGCCTCGCTGTGCTGCGAAAGCCAGTGCATGCATAACAGAGCCAGGTTTCCATGTTCTTAGGTAGAAATGATATGGTTTGTAAGATTACGGCCTCACGAAATCTTCATATGTACAATGGCCCTACCTAAATACGTTTCCAACCTTATTGTAGGATTCGTTATTCAAATGGTTCAAATGGTTAACGATGGAATAGAAGATGCTTTTGCTTAACGGGCTACCCTACCTAATAGCGGTGGACCACCGATGTCACCAGCTCTGGACCTAAATATATTTATCCATAAAGGAGGAAAAAAGTAATGATAAACTATAGAGCGATACTGTTATAAGTCCTTAAGAACATTTCATGTTTTCTCTTAAAGGACTCCTAGGAAGTGACCTGAACTAGCTCAGTATACAGAAGGTTCCAGCATTTGACTACCCTTAAAGGGTAGGAGGTGTACCGTAAGACGGTTCTGCTACATTGTCTCCGATTTCTGGGTGCTACCCCATAGGTTTGTATCGGGATTGAGCTTAAATGTGTACTTTAAGGGATCCCCAGAGGTGTTTATGATTCTGTAAGTCATGACGAGGTAACCTCCAAGGCGCCCATACTTTATTGTGTAAGGTTTCAGTGTCCTGAGATGCTCTTCGTAAGGCTGGAATTTTAGTCCTGGAACTAACTCCTTGGCTCATCGTTGGATACGTCCCAATATATCTTTATCCTTTTGGAGTAAAGGGGAAACATTATATTTCCATACTGTAAATGGGTTCGAATAAAACATTTGAAGATTAAGTGGAAAGTTCTACCGCTGAACTGGCCAAAAATGTGCTTCAACGTTATTAGTGCATGGTTTGCTCGAAAGGCATTTTGGTCCTATTTGGCGTAAGACTTCGGATCACAAGGAAATAAAACATCCAAATCATCCTTAACGTGGTATGCCTCTATAGGTGAGCTACCTAAGTTTTATTCGCAGTATGTAACATGACTGCGATGGACTACTTTACACTTTGAAGCGTAAAAGGTAAGTCCGTGATTGTCAGCCGAACTACGAAGTCGGGTCAGATTCTCCTGAACATCCATCTTATCATCTTGGTTGCATAATCTCCACAGTTTCATACCATCAGATAAAAGTAATAAATCAGAAGAAACCTGTTGTGGAAGGTCGTTCACGTAAATTAAGAAAAGGAGAGATCCTGGCACCAAACCTTGGGGGACCACGCTAGAAAAAACTGATCCTAAAAAGCCGGTTATGTAGATAAGATGTAGGCCAATCTGTTACCGCTGGCTTCATAACTAACCATTTGATCATATTGAAAAGTCTGAAAGTACTGTTCTGTTGGGATTTCAGTGTCACCACCATCGTTGTTAGTTGGGCAGTTAGGACCTAGCAAGTGATAAACTCCGGTTCTGACTTGTCGAAGAGAGGCCGTATGACGGAAGAGGGTTTTCCGATTTGGGACAAATTTATCGGTTGGTTACATCTGATATTGAAGACTGTTTTTTCTTATCAACCTGTGCATTGGTTCCTTTCTTGTCTGAATCTCTTATATGCGTTGTTGTCATTAGTTTGTTGATATTCCGCCCAGTAGTGACTTATACGTCTTAACAGTCGAAGTGTGCGAGTTTTGATGACTGTGGGTTGCTCGTAATTTTTGGAGGCGTTTGCGCGACAGACAATTATGTTGCATATAAGATCGTGTGCATTAGGAAATCACAATGAGTGTCCCAGACTACCTACTGTAAAGTAAAGCTGACACATCCAAGAGTTTCTCATTCCAACGCTTTTTGTTAGTTGTATGGTTTAGTTCGGGTTCGCTGATAAAATTGAAGGCTAGGACGGCATGATCACTTTTACCTGGGCCAGACAAGATTTGGGGGTTGTTAATTAACAATTTTTTGTTCGTAAAAATGCGGCCTAAGCGTAACGGCGTCTGACTATTTCTCCAGCGAGTTGCTAACTTCACATTTTCAAATAATCCCAGACCTTATGCTGAGGACTCACACTTGAATATTCGACCAGTTCTGGGTTCTGATCCCACTAAGAGGGATTGTGTATGTCTAGTTCTGAGGAGTCCCACACTAGGATGAAACGACCGTCCAGCTCTTCTAGTTTTTCTATAGTGGTCTAGCTTCGATCGACTCATGAACTCAACTATCAAATTACTATAGTATGCACAATACCTTTTTCCGAAGGTATTCGTTCAACTGTTACCATAACCTCTCTCCAGCCTCCTTTAAAGCCATTTGTCTAAAATGCTATCGCAAAAAGTCCAAACATCACGTTTGAATGAACTGGCGATTGTATCCCTTGACCACTATACATGAACGAGGGATATCAGTTTGCCAGTGAAGATTTTTAGCCAGAACCTGAATCCTAGTTAGTAAAAAATCCTCAGGGGATAAAAGGAGTCAGCCGACCTACAATTCTTATTAATGAGAAATTGAAGCCAATAAAGTTTGGAGGTTGAATTGCTGAAGGTGTTGCGGGCTTCCAAAATATCGTCTTAGTAAGTGCCCTTCTAGTAAATGTTGACTGAGTCGCAAAACACTCATTCTAACGGAACGGAGAATAAATTGATTGAAAACTATCAAAACATAGGTATTCAGTACTTGCCGAACTTATTTTTACAGTCAGAAATGATATCGAACCTGACGAAGCTTCAATCAAAGCTAAGGAACAAGCTATACTGGAACTTGGAAATTTACTCGCTGAGAAGAAAGATGCAAAAGGTTAGTCAGTTATCCCAGTTTTATTATGGACGCTTTGCGTCTCATTGCTACTACACAACGTGATACGTTGTGCATATTTTGCTGTTATCAGAGCTGGTGATGTGTGCATGGTGAATTGTTACCCACAAAAAACGCATTGCTCAGGGAAAATTATTACCTATCTGGATGTACAGGCATCTCTAAGAAATTCAATTCTCTACAGAGTTTTGATCTAAGTTGTGAATATAAATCAAGGGAATATGGTTAAAGTGACCTAATAGTGGTGCTTTCGAACTAATGCCTTATGTTTTATACAGCAGTTGTCTCTGGTTTGCTATGGTAAGCATGAGGAGAATTACAATGGTAACCAGCAGTAGTCCCTTCAACTTCACACTAAATTTTTAAGTGTCTGGACATAGTTTTCTAACAGTTCTATATCACTGTGAAATAAAAGAAAGGTCAGTCAGTAAACAAATGAACAAGATTGGTATGTGATAAGTAGTACGGTTAATATGCAACTACACCTAAGGAAAATCATCCACTCTTATGATGATTGTCAGCTAAAGATACAGCAGTTGTCACTGGTTCTTATCCAGAGCAATATTTATTAATCTCAAGATCAAATATACTGTGAATGTGCTGGAGATTAAAATTTCCTAATCGCCCACAATAATAACGGTTCAACAAAGTGAAGTAATCGAACGCGTCGACAATTCCACTTGGACGTCTGATCAGCCCAAATGGGTTGGTGTTTTACGAAATCTCTACGCGGATTCAGAAAGCTCGTTTGGCTTTTGTCAACACGCGTCATCTATGGCGAAGGCGAGATATCCGTCTATCAATTGAAGGACGAGTATACTGTGCGGCAGTTCGTTCTGTTGTACCTTAGAGCTGCGAATCGTGGCCATGAAGAGTAGGAGATACCCGTAAGATGACAGATATCTTAGAAATATTGCCGGCATCTGCTGAAATCACTGGGTAAGTAATAGTAAGGTTAGACGCAGGGTTTTAGGGAATGATGGTAAGTCAGTTGATGAGGCTGTAAATCTTCATCGACTGAGATGATTGAGCCAAGTGCTACGTATACCTGGACACCAATTACCACGACGCACAAAGCTGATTAGTGTTGGAGACGGGTGGAAGGAAGCTTGGGGCGGTCAGACCAAAACGTGGCATCAGTCCTTGAAGTCACTAAGCCATGTTGGTAGATGATATCACTACATAAAGTCACTGGTTCGTGTATATGTGATATGTACTAGTCTTTACAAAACGACTATTATCACTGATGTGGTTCTCAATCATCTTCAGGGGCACCGATTTATCTACTTTTTGTCTTTCAGTTCTTTGACATCATATTATTATTAATAAAATATTATCTCGACGAAATAGGGTTTTCGGTTAGTTTCTTTTATATAAGAGGACCCCTAAGTCATATAGCCCCTGAAAGACAGTTGTTTTTCATAGTGACATAAGCTGACCTCATTTTTCGGGGAAGTAGGTTAACTTACTGTAAAACAGCCTTATGTAATGTTATCTATGTAGTATTCAGAGTTTCAGCGTAATTTTAACATGATTTAGCTTTACATTGTTTGTTGATTGAATGTTGACTTAGAATTATTCTTTCCCACATTGTCTTGCTCAGTTCCAGCTAAACAAGAGAGTAGTACAACTACTAATATTACCCTTCCTTGCTTACAGACTATGCCTGTTGTATTTAGTTGTTATTATTCGGCATCTTAATTCATCACTTTCAGGGATTAGATTATTAGATATATCTCATATTTTAGCTTCTATCACACTGCTTTAAATGTGTTTCATTTTATTTCTTGATATGTTTTAGGACTGGGAGACCTCATTTTAGTAACTCGACCGTTTCTCAAGCTGATCAGCAAAGCAAAAGCTGGTCGTCTTGTTAGAACTCTGGTTGATCTGTTTTTGGATCTTGAAGGAGGAACTGGTCGTGAGGTTGATCTCTGTCGTGAATGTGTTGAATGGGCCAACCAGGAAAAGCGTATTTTTCTTCGTCAAGCATTAGAAGCCCGTCTGATGGGTCTTTATTATGATAATGGAAGTTATGAAGAAGCATTGAAATTAGGTAATTTGCAAAATTTCTTTCCATTTACACTATTCTTAACTTATTGTAATCTTACGAGCTGGTAGTATCCCTAGCTCTCACACAAAGCCGGGTACATAAATCTGTACTCAGCAAATGAGTTGTAGCATAGTAACCTAATCACCCGTTTATCAGTCTGGTGATTAGTTTGAATGTGACTCCGTTTTTAAATCTATACAGCAATATAAATTTGATACATGGTTTCTTTGTATCCATACAAAAAATAAACCGATTTCTTAAGGATAGAAATAGATATGTCTTGAACGTTAAATGTTTTATTTTACAAACTACATTTTCCATTTTGCATTAGGTTCAAATTTATTACGTGAACTTAAAAAACTGGATGATAAAGCTCTTTTGGTTGAGGTTCAACTCATGGAGAGTCGAGTTTATTACAGATTAGGTAATCTTCAACGGGCCCGTGCTGCACTTACATCTGCCAGAACTACAGCAAATGGTATATATTGTCCACCACGTTTACAGGCCAACCTTGATCTACTTTCCGGTAAGTGGTCTTACATGTTGTTTCTTGTATAAAATACCTTTTTAAATATTTAGGAATCGTTTTAAAATAAACAATTTCAATATTCCTTAATACTCTCATAAATAGCTCATGGTCTTCCGGAAATTATTTCCTTCGTAGTTTAAACTTGAATTTACAAACTGCCATTTACTGTGTTTGTACATCGGTTATGATAAAATCCAGGTTTACAAACATGGAGATTTATTAGCTGTTTGCGACAGAAGAAATGTGGCAAAACTAACCTCTTTAATCAAATGATTCCTTATTGTATACGGTTATTTCGTTTAGTTCCCTTGATTTCCAAGTATCTGTCAGTACTTGCTATTCTGTCATTTTCTCTACAATAGACTTACCTTGCCAGCACGGTTTGAACTAGTAGTGTTGCTTTTTCCTAAAAGTCGTATAACAAAGGACAAATGTCTGAGATAACTATAAGCAATAACTTGTAACGTTGGAATTCTTAAAATATTCAGTTCACTGTCTAGTGCCAACAAAGCTTTATCCCAACCATTAGAAACATTATTTATGGCTCCATTCATAATAGCGTGGTGTTGTGAGCAGAAAGTATCGTCTACCCTAAGAAAAATTAAGTACATCAGCCTCCTTTATTGATTGTGATTTAGTGAATGATGCACGGTTTTAGGGCTAAGAGTAGATCAACAGAATGTTAATCTGGAAATGGAATACTATGTGACCGAGTGATGGCTGCCGCACAAGACCATGTCATTGGTACAGTCTCCCGGGTGATCTGATATCAAAGACGAGACCGGAAGAATAGGTTTTTTGTTCCACAAAGTAACATGGTTATACATAAATTATGAACGAAAAAGTAAACATAATTAGGTGTTTTAAACGATTGGAGGATACCAGTTTTGTAGGTCATCCACTCTTCAATGAATTGAGACCTGAGTGTTGTGTCGAAATCGTATAAACCTCTCACTTGTAGTTCTCGGTGTTTCGTCACTAACCAAAAGGTGTTCCCAGGATATTGCAGACTACATAAAAATGAGCTCAAACACGTTCGCTGAACTGTGCCGTAATACAGTAATTATATATATAGCTGTTTCATATGACAGTAAAGTGCTGTTAATCACAGTTCGTGAAGCGTTACATCTTCGGTGAGATATATTCTTCTGATCACACAGTTTTCATAATTTGCTGTTGATAACTACTAGGATGTATTTACACTTTTAATCTATTGCACTGTCCTACGTTTTAATGAATTGTACAACCGAGGAATACAGTGTACTGGGACGTAAGTTTATGAGTGTTAAATTTACTAACAGTAAATTCCAAGTTCTCCAAAATGCTCAAATCACAGTTAAAATTGCTTGAAGAAGTAGGTTTTATCTCAAATTTTTATATTTAAATTTCTTAATAGTCCATAAAACAGATTTAAAGTCGTGTCGAAACCTCTGATATGCAGACTGGATATGTTTAAATAGTCCCATATCCGTCTATATGACATTCTCTCTACAATTCATTGGTGTGTATAAACTATCTAAATTTTACTTTATTTTCAACTGTAGGAATTCTACACGCTGCTGATGAACGTGATTTCAAAACTGCATATTCTTACTTTTATGAAGCATTCGAAGGCTTTGACTCAATTAGTTCCAAACGAGCTATTGATGCTCTTAAATACATGTTGCTGTCAAAAATTATGTTAAATAGGTTTGTCATGTTTTCTTTTGTTCCTAAAAATTATTTTTACATTTTTTCTTAATGAATTGTGCTTTCCCGTTGTTGACGTTACTGACTGCAATTTGCGTATGTACGTGCATTACAAACAGATTACCCCTATATTGTCACTTAATTACAAGTTTTTATTAAGGTTCGATAGTAGCTAGGAGTGGAATTCAGGATGCTATTTTCGCCCCATTTGGGACCCGTCATCCTTATGTACTTGTATCCCAGTGTTGATACCCACACTAAGATTCAAACCTAGTACAGTTATTTTATGATCATACAATAGCATACAAGAAAGGAAATAGATTCTAGTTACTCATAAGTAATATGTTTATGACGAACGAGTTTCAAACAAAATCAAACTTTTAAAAAATATTGGTACATTAGTTTAAGGAATTTGTTGAGATTGTAGAGTTTTCAATGTTTAATTCACGAACTGATCTTAGCTAGACCACCATTGTAAACCTGAAAGCTCTGGACAGCCACTTTGTCCTATTATAGGACTTCTAAGCAGTGCGCACCCATGACTCCGCACGCGGGTATTGAATTCAGGGTCTTCAGTCTCACGCGTGAACACTTGACTTCTAGACTACTGAACTGGGATCCAACGGTGTTCAAATCATATTCTCTAAGTTCAGTTCATCCTACTATTATTTATAAAACTATTATCTCAACCCTCTTTTTTATTTCGTCAATCTCTTGTCGGAGTATTCATGTGGGACGTTGCAATTTGGATTGAAGCACATTTATGATAAGTCATACCTCGTCTATGAACCAACTGTATTTTCAAGTACATAGTTAGCAGTAACCATGACCGCAGATATCCTCATAATCTCTTGTTATGGTATTATCAGACTTTCGGAAAAACTGTGCATAAATATTTTTCGGAAGGCGATGCTAAGGTTAGACGCAGAGAGACTAGGTGAATATGGTAAATCGGTTGATGAAGTTGTGAATCCTCATCGACTGACGTGGTTGCGATATGTATTACGTATTTCTGGTGTAGATTTTATAAAAGTTAGAAGTATCAAACCAAAACACGACATCAGTCAACTTGAATCGATGTACATATTTATCAGGTTCTAGGTTACTTACAAATGACGGAAATGTACAGTCAGTTATTAAATTATATTAATAATAAGTAAAATTAATTTTATCTTGTTTGCAGAATGTTGTGTTCCATAAAATATTTTGTGCTTTCAATCGTTACGCTTGTATATGCAGTATAAAAGTTCTGAATGCAAACTGTTTTTAAACCATTTGTAGGGTGGAATATTTTTTCTTTCACTAATTTGGTTATTGATTATCCAACTATTTTTACATTTTTTTAGCGCTGATGAAATCCCTGGTATTCTTACAAGTAAATTAGCTTTAAAATATACAAGCCGTGATATTGATGCTATGCGAGAAGTTGGAATTGCTGCTAAAGAACGATCATTGGGTGATTTTCTACTGGTAATATTTTAGACTTATTTATTTTACTTTACTAAACGGAATGTTTTATTAAATGTTATCTCTTCACTCTCATGTCACTGAGTTTATCTGTAGTACATGTCTATGTATAGGGTTTGTAGAGATTGTTTAGTCTCATAGTGTACAGTATCACTAAGAGCCAGGAAGCACCAGATAGTTGTTTTGTGCATCAGTTATTCAATATCGCAATTTGGCTTAAATTAGTAATGTTAACCGATCGTTTCCGAATTTGTGGTCCAAAAGTTAAGCTCACACTGAGAGCCCTGAAGGTCATGGGTCTGACCCCGGGTGGGGTCATGGATGCGCACTGTTCAGAGATTCCCAGTTTTCAATGATTACCTAGTTATTTGCTTTGTAGAAGAATGTTAATGATTTGTGATTTTTTTCAAAAACTGTCTCGATATATTTTCACTTAACCAGTCATCTAGTGTCACAAACCATACGAAGGAAGTTGAGCATATATACATCTGTGTTTGCTTATAAAATCATTAACTTGTAACGTTTTCGATACCGTGTAAAATATTAATCCTTCGTGTATTTTTAACGTGCGTATTTGTTTTAGCTTCAAGAGAAATACAAAACTGAATTATCTGGAGATCCAGTAATTAGCAGACATCTTCACTCATTTTATGATACATTATTTGGTCAAAATCTTCTGAAACTTATCGAACCATATTCTCGTGTTCAAATTGATCATATTGCCAAACTTATCAATATTCCTTTGGTAAGAATAATATTTATTGTCATTAGCTTTAAATCCATCCTACAGGAATGTTATTTGTAAACGTATGTAGTTCTACAAGCTTTAGTTTTATGATACCTTGGCAAAAAAAATCAGGTACAGTTATTCATTCTTTATCTTATCCCCACTTCTTGAGTTAAGTGTTATTTCTAACTTGAGGTTTGACTATTCAAGTAGGTTCAGACTCGTGCAAGATCCTACGTTGATGATAATTAACTAGTTATGGGGCAGATCATGTTTATGTAGAGTTGTTTCTATAGCTTCCTTGATAGTGTTCGAAACACAGTGTATAGTTGTATACATAACCAAATTCACCAGGTGCTTGGGTATAAGCCATACTTTAAATGTGAGGGCTAATCGTACTACGCGGTTGCTCAGCGCAAATCAAAACTAACCCATTGATGTGAACTGAGGAATGAAAAAGCCATGACTAACAACGGAATCCATTGTTGAGGACGTTATTTCACTTAATTCAAAGCTTGTTAAGCATTAACATTTAGTCTTGTCCCTAGTTTATTCTACAAACCATAAGACTACTGCATAATTCACAGCCATACCCCCTTCTGTTCCAAAGCTATTGTATTATGAATATAACCTTTGGAACCTATTTTACTACTTTAATGCCTCGTTTGAACATAATTTTATCGTGCGAATTGTTTGTGCTTTGTGGTCACTCTAGTAACCTATTTATTCATGAATCTTTATACACTAATCGGAATACGAATTGGGAATCAATCGAGTGGTGTGATGAATTATAATCCCTAACATCTTATTAAGCATTTTATTTGTTTTGAATTATCTTAATTTTTAGGAAACTGTAGAAAAGAAACTTTCACAAATGATTTTGGACAATCAACATAATGGTAAATTCTTTAAGTGCTGATAAATTTTGGTGGTATATTTTTTCCTTCTATAATAAAGTTTATACCTGATAGTTAAACTAAAGTATTAACTTATGATCATCCGTTCAATTTGTAATGAATAGTATTACCCAGTTGTTGGTATTTTTGACTGAAATTAGATCAGTCTTGATTGGGATTTGTGTGTCCTGTGCTGATTGCATAGACACAGCCATTATGACACATGTTGATATAGACTACATGGTATGTGGTTAACACTGGAATCTATGATCCGCATTTCATCCTATTTGGAACTCGTTAATTGACTGTACTCGGATCCTAGAGTTGATGCTCATTCTGGGACTTGAACCTAGTACCCTTTTCTTCAAACACCATGGCGTTATATGCTTCGCTACTGAGTACGAAACGCATGTCTTAAATTCCACTGATATCCACATCCTATCTAGTCTATATCAACTTGTGCCACAATGGTTGTATCGACACACTCCGCACGGGATGCTCATATGCCAACGAAGACTGATCAAATTTCATCCAAAAAGATCGAAACCGGATAATTCAAACCAACAATGTGGATCAAATCTCATACCTCCTGTACAACTGAATGCCGTTTGGATAAAACGGCACTGAGTTCGAGTCCCGGGGTGAGCATCAGCTTGACACATCCAACTGACGAGCCCCAGATAGGATAAAACGAGCGTCTTGGATTCCATTGAGAGTCACATTCCATCTGGTCTATCAACCTATGATTACTATGTTCTCCCAGTTGATTGATTTATGGTTCCACTTGAGTTTTTATCGGTGAAGTACTTCTATCGAGATGTAATATAATTTGTATGGCTATCGTCAGTATCATGAAAATTAATTGCCCCCAAATGCCTTGGTACGGCCGAGAATGGGGAGAGTCCGGTCTCCCTCTCGAAATGCTCTCACATGGCCACGCGTATATAGCCTCTACCAGGGAAGTCCTACTCATTGCCTTCTCGTGGCGGGGGTGTTGTTTACGAAAATGAGAGGACTAAAAGCGAATGTCTGGCGCTTTAACCGGATCCCAAACCAATGGTGCACATGGGCTCCAGTATCCTGCGGGAACAAATGGCGTATGAACCAATTGTTGGTCACCGGCTTCCATGGGACTGTATCTCCTTACGATGCTCCATTGCCTTGTGGATCAGACCCTCAGGTCGAAGGCTCGGGGTGTGGCCCCCTAAGAAAACCAATTGCTTCGGTTTGGGCACCCGGGCAGCATCACAGCCCTCACACATATCGAATAAGATTTGTGTGGCGCATATGTATTTGGTGCCTCCTTGTACTAATATCTATGTGTTGAAATAAATAAATAAATAGTAATTTGATAATATTAAATAGTAACATTTATTTATAATGCAAAAATAGCTCCACAAAGATGAAATGATAATATTAAGAAATAAGGGAGGGGTGACTTGTGTAATCAACAGATAATTGAATAATAATAGAGATACGTTCCGACTGAAAATACAAGCAAAAAGGATCATTTTTTAGTTAACGATTATCATACTACTTTAAGGAATATTTTAATGCAAAAGTGCGACAGGTGCACCATTGGTTTTTATTCCAATAGCATTCTGATAGCATCTTAAGTCATTAATTTGCACTATCTCTAGGACCTCAACCTGGGAGTCGTTATGGACTGATGTATTTCAATCCTATATATCTGCTTTTCGTACAAAGGCATTAAATCGTAGACGGACCACGTCTTCGCTTTCTCAACCCAACGAAAGCACCAGTAACTACTGAGAGGTGTGAAAGCCTCTGAAATGGCATTCGTAAATCATGACCAATTCACCGCGTTTGGTGTTTCAAGGTGGTGGCACCAATTTAATATATCTGTTATCCAAACAGCTAATTGTGTAGGAAAACCAAGAGTGAGTAGGAAGCTTTTGCTTGCTAATTGTATCGAAACATATACACAACTCATTCATAAATATGTATCTATCCCCTGAAGAAACTTAACGAGATTTTTAACCAACAGCATATTTTTGTCTTCCTCGGAAGACCAATCCAATAGCATGTACCCGTTAGCATCCTCCATTTATCATTTGACCTTAAACTGATGTGTTTGATTGACTTAAACTGTTATTTTTCTTTCCTGTGACATAAATCTAGTTTTTTGGATTCAGCTGAAGGAATTGATGTGGGAGAGGAGTAGATAAAGTTTAACATGGATTCACCGTTCATTTAACTTTTCTTGTTTTTTATCATAGGAATTCTGGATCAAGGTTCTGGTGTTTTAGTACTCAGAGAACCAGAATGTGATGGTAAAGACTATCCTTTAGCATTATCTGCAATCCAATCTCTTGGAGGTATTGTTGATATGTTATTCCAAAAAACCACTAAATTAAAATAACATTTTGGATTTCCTACCTAATGATTTTTTTAAAAATATAGTTCGTTTACTTGAACCAAAGTCTTTTCACTCAAATGTTAAGTGTTGTTATTCGAAAGCGGCTTTATGTTGTAAAAGAGATGCATCCTAAACTTGTCTACTCATCGGCAAGAAGTTAAATTCATAGGGACGCAATGCAATTTATTATTTTGTTCTTCAGAATTTCGAAGGATGTAACTTGGAGTTTACTTCATAACCATCGTAGATCCCTCCCACAATGGAAGGAAGGGGTGGTGAAGAAGGTCGTTTCAAACGACAACACCTCATCTTACCCCGCAGATTTCCGTCCTTGACAGTAAAGTCTTAAATGTACAGACCTAGCATATCAAAAACTACTCACCAAAGGGTCGTTTGTGGCTGATCCCAATTACTTGTTTCTTGGTTACTGCGGTCACGTTCTCAGGTCATCAAGACTGATCCTAACTCAATATTATTTTGATGTACCTTAACAAGAAGTGTGAGGAACTTAGAAGTGAAATCCACTCTCAAACTTGTGACAACTCTTAAAACCAGATTTTACTTCAAATTTTAAAGGTTACCAAATCACTGTTAGCTTTCGTAAGAGAAAGGCAATCTAGTAATTCTAAATATTATTTAATTGAAAACATTCTTCGTACATAAATAAATGCATAGATATTACGTCTTGTACAGACCAAGGTACTATACACGATTTGGATTTTTCTTTGTATTCAAAATGGCCATATACGAGTAATTAGGTACCATTAAAAATGATGAATGATTAACTACCAAACGATATTTCGATTACTAACAAGGCCGATTTAATGTTATACTGTAATAAGATTGTAATAGTTTCATTCTCTTATAATAGATACGAGTAGTATTATGAAGCTCAACTAAATGAGTGAGATATTAAAAAGTTATTAGTAGAAATGATTTCCACATACTTTGTCGCACTAAACAGTCATGGCATCGGTCACTCCAGTAATCAATAATTTGTACTTCTGCTGTTTATAAAACTAAGTTATTGTGTCCGAAACTCTGCTAAAACACTGAGGACACTTTCGGAAACTCTCAAGAGTATTCTGTCTCCACTTCATTTAACAAACTGAACAATAAGAAAAATCATTAATATGCACAAATACTGATGACAATGAGTCACATACCTTATTGATTGTTAGATCTACCGAGGCGTCCAAGTTACCCAATTGAGATACGCACAAAACCGAAGTTTCCAAAACAACGATTTGTCTACAATAGCGATTCTTTATTGAATAATACACAAAATTTAGTTACAAACCTCAATTTGTGAGGTGTCTAGGGCGTTTAAACGCGTCCTTCAAGTATGAAAATAAAAAGCTTCCTGTAACAGTAACATCAAAAATATTTATAACATACTATAGTACAAACGACAGCTGATAGCTGTGTCTATATCTGACAACATTTATGAACAACCGAAACCCGAACTAAGAGCAAAACACTATGGAAACTGTTGTGTTTAAAAAAATGCACGAAACTGTGGATAACCGCCGCAGTGATTAAGGTACAGTAATTAAAATGATAGGTACAATAGACGTAATAAATATATATGAACATTTTAGAATATCACACTACAACTTGCGTGACAACATAGGTGTACAAATTGTTGGGAATACAACTGCTTACTGAATGTAAATAAGTAGTACAAAACAATATACAAAAGAGTGGAAATGGAGGTAGTGGAACAATGTAAGACAAACTTAACATTCACAATAGATATCAATCGATTATAGAGCAGTTCTAACATGTCAGTTAGTGTTAGCTAAGTTCCAACGGTGAAACCATTGAAGTCAGAGAACGCAACATTACTGAAAGCGTTATGTATGATAATAACTATATGAAAAAAACGGCAATCATATACAAAATGCTGGCTTTCTCAAATGCAGTTATCACAAGCTAAATTCACGTTTATTGTCAGTCAACACAGCCTGGGATAAATATTTATCATCACTCATGTTGCTACATATGAAATCAGCATGATAAAATTGATATAATAGCACTGATAGTAAGATAGGTTAAACATTTTTAATATCGTTCACGAAGATGTTTATACAGGAATACTGAAACTTGATTTTCACAGTGAATGGATCTGGATCATTGTAACCAATCCTAAGTCATGTTACCCAATGTTTCCAGCTATCGCACTGATCCAAACCCGGTATTCCTCGAAACTATAAGCAACATAACTCTCAAACCTGTAAGTTCTATTTCAATGATGAGAATCCGTCTGTTTGATGAAATTCAGTTATCCTTTGAAAAGAGTAGTCACTTTGTGAACATATGATTAGTTTTTAATAACTAAGTCTTATTATGAAATGTGTTTAGGAACTAGAATTTTTCAGTTGATTAATCTTTGAACACGATAAACTAAATGGAAAGTTTTGGGTTTTTCACATCGAGACGTTTGTGCATTATTCAGTTAATTTAATCTCTAAAAAAGCTATTCCACTCTTAGTTCCTCTCTGGTTACGCTATACTACTTACTACTCAGTAGTTTGAATTCAATTCGTAGTGTTTTGGATTATCTCGTCATCGGTATTTTTTTATTTAAATGTAATCAGGCCTGGTTAGCATATGTGTGTCCTGTGCGGATTGCGTCGATACAGCTGTTACGAAACATGTTGACATAGAGTACATGGCATGTGGCCAGCACTGGAATCCATGATGTGTATTTCGTCTCATTTAAGACTCATCAGTTCAATGCACCTGTATCTCAGTTCATATTCAGATTTCGATGATAACTTGGTAGCTATTTCAGAATCCTGGTACCAATTCTTTATTGCCTTTCAGGATTTATATATATATATATATATATATATATATATATATATATATATATATATATATATATATATGACTGCATAATCGGATGACAATCCTTATACAGATTCCATTCAAATTCTTCCTTCCAGTAAGTTGTGTCGTCATGAAATGAATAGTTATTGTTAAGGCGGTGTTGTGTCCTCCGAATATTATGTATGGAACATTCAGGTTTATTTTGATTCCTTTCCATAAACCATTCAAATGCCCAAGACTTTTCTGGAACTGACGTCAGAGAATCGAATAAACTCCTTAATAATAACTATCTGAAACAAAAGTAAATTTTCGTATTTAACACTTTAGATACAATAAAGGTTTTAAATTTTGCACCTCAAGTGGCGTCCGTCAAGGCTGTCCACTTTCGTTTAAATTCATCATCGACCTACAGTTAGAAATAACGCTCTCGTCGACTGAATTTTCGGGCATTGATCTCTTACCAGGAGGTCCACCTATCGACATAGAATACAATGAAGATATAGTCCTGTTTGGTGAAGACGCTGATAAAATGCAGAGTCTATTGGTAACACTAAGCAACAATGCCAGAATGCGCTTCTCCCTTTCTAAATGCAAGTTGTTGCTCCAGGACTGGCTTGCGTCAACACCTGAACTAAGGATAGGGAGTGAAATGGTCGAACGCGTTGACAACTTCACTTATCTTGGAAGTCTGATCAGCCGTAATGAGTTGGTGTCTGACGAAATATCAGCATGGATTCAGAAAGCTTCTTATAAAATAATCTGAAGATTGTTTATTTATACTTTCACAAGTTTGAAAAATTCCCATATTGTGATTTAGGACAGCTGCTCTTGTGCGCACTACTAGACAACTGAGCCGAGTTAGTGAACACATTCCCTTCGTGGTTAGGAAACGGTACCGTCAAAACAATATACAGCTCTGTTCTACCACACATGATCGATAGCGGTGATGTAGTAGACAGAAATAGGTCATTTAAAGTGATTTATCGTATTCCTACTAGTTTTCCTTATGAGGTTCGACCTCGTGTCTTAAATATAGCAGAAGCTATAGGAATTCGAATTAGCAATCCAAGTCTTTGGTTAAAATTAAATGCACGGCCATTTTTTATCCCCATTTACCAATAATTTTCATCCTGTTTCGTCCAATCAAATAAGCTAGTTTTAACTTCGTCGTTTATTTCTTAAAAGTGATATAAAATGTCAGGACATGACGACAGAGGACATTTCCTTCCAATTATGGACGGTAGTAGCGTACAAAGCACGAGCTCTGTCATTTCTTATATTGTCACAGAAACCGATAATCTATACTCTTTTTCGTTCATTTTTTTCACCCCCTCCTAATTTTTCCGAATATACACTTCATTATCCAGTTATCCGAACACTTTTTATTACGTAGAGTTAGTTTTTATGAATGTTATTTCATTATCTATATATTTGACCTATTTTCCATTATGAAACATTGATACAAGCCTATATTATTCTTATCACAACTAGTACACATGTCATCACATCAATTTGTACTTTTACCTATTATGTTTATTTATGTAATTTATTCCACTCGTGAAATGTCTTGATTAGTTTGATAATTTCGTTTGTGCATATAAACATCACTGTATATTAAAGTAAAACTTAATGAGGAACTAACTGAAAACAATATTGTTCGCTTATCTATGTTATTCGATTTCCACAAGTAACTATATGATATGACTGTTAACGAAAGTAACCAATATTATTATTGAAAAAAGAATTAAGATAATTATTCAGTAGAGAAATTGTTGAAAAGAGAATTTCCTTCAGTGAATTCTGTTGATTTGATTGTTGTTTAAAATGTCGCTGTCAAAACTACATCATATTCCTATCAAATCAATTTTAACACTATCGAGTACCAAATGTCCGGTACGGCTGAAAATGGGGAGAATCAACTCTCCCTCTCCGAATGCTCTCACATAGCCACATGCATACAATCACTAACAGGGAAGTTCTACTCACTGTCTTCTCGCGGCAAGGATGTTGTTTACAAGATTGAGAGGATGAAAAGCGAATTTCCGGTGCTTTAATCAAGTTATTGGATACGGAGAGTCCACTTAGAGGAGTTGAAGAACCCTGATTCCAAACCACATAGGCTCCAGAGGAACCAAATGGCGTATGAACCAATCATTGGTCACCGACTACTGTGAGACTGCATCTCCTGACGTTGCTGCACTGCCTTGTGGATCAAACCTTTAGGTCGAAGACTCCGGGTGTAGTCCCGTAAGAAAACTACCTGCTCCGGTTTGGACGACCGGTCAGTATCCCAACCCTAACATAGATCGAATGATTTATGTGTCGCATATCTATTTGGTACCTCATTGTACCAATGTTTATGTGTTTAAATAAATAAATATATCGAAAATACATAAAAGAACAAATTACTGGTGGAAAAATCTGATTTAGTTATTGTATAAAAAAAACCTGTGATAAGAAAATATAAACGAACTCGGTGCATAATATGTGCAGTATGACTCAATAATTTTGTTCTAATCTATGAATATGTTAAACAAAATCATTGAATTTTTGATAGATCATCTTGAATGCATAAATATGTAAAGAGAAAAAGTAAATTAAAAAAAAACAACACCATAGATAAATATACAAAAGAATCTGAAAGAAGAGAAGAAAATGAAAGAATATTGAACAATCACATATACATAAAAATACATATGCAACCACTATTAGTTTGTATTATTATCATTATTTACAAGTGGAAGAGTTAAACATCGTTTTCGACGTTTGGCAAGGCGCCGTTTTTGGTTACGACTTAATTGTGTATGCATATGCTCAGATCTTATTAATCCATTACAATTTGTTAATGAATTATTGTTCATATGAATATTTGTACTACTATTGTTATCATTACTATTATTGGGAGCTATATACTTTAAAGTCGGTTGTAACAGTGGTAATTTATTATTAGTATTATTGCCATTAACATTATTATCATCATTATTATGAATGATTCGACGTTTTTTGTTAGAAGGCGGCTGTTCAAAGTCAGATGAAGTTATTTTCATTTTTAATGGGAAATTTCTATTTGTTTGATTTGACGAACAATTGACCAATATTGATTTTGGTATATTTTCTGTAAGTGATAACCATGACTGATCAATTATTGAGACATGTCGCATAAATACACGATCATTTTGTTCAATTGCATTGTTACATTGAAATTTGTATTCACTACTTGTCACCGCTTCAATGAACAGTAAACATGGAGGTGGATTATTTAATGAAGATGTGTATAATTGTGATTCTGGATGAATCAACAATTCCTGAGGTGAATTTGTTGACAAATTGATGGTTTTACTTTGTACATATACGGGATGCCGAGAATTTTTAATTAATCGTTGAGTATCACCTTTGTACATTTTTGACAATTCAGAAAGAATTACAACCTATACGAATGATAAATTAAACAAAATTCAAGTCAAACAAATAATAATCACCATATAATATTATAAATGATCTATTCGTAATCAATTGAATTTGAAGGATTAAATATCCCTGACACAAGGCGAGAGAGATAATTTTGTTTGATATTGTCACACAATCCCGTTAAAATGTACAACGGTAGACGATCAAAAACAGTTGAGGTTTTTTAAGTCTTAATTTTCAAGAAATAGTAGGTAAGGTAAAAGGAGTTTTGTGTAAACTGTTGAATTTTCATAGCTTAGATTACAACACGATCGTAGTTAGACGATTACCGAAAACCATGAAGCGTTGGATAGCTGTTTTGTCCTAGCATTGGACTCCCCAACAGTACACACATCCACTACATCATCAAACAACCAATCCAGAAATGACTAGTTTTGGGACGAACGCTTAACCATAAGAACCATGGAGTTAGTATCCGATTGAACTTATTAGCAAATTCAATTAGCTAGATACTAATAATTATTAAAAGTGACCCCAGTTCGCCGAGGTGTAGCAAACTTGAAGCAGTGAATTGAGTGTCTAAGTAACCGGGGAACATATATTGGTCCCACAATAATCAATAATAATAAAAAACCCAACTTTTAATGAGTCAATGGGTTGGCATGTCTATGTTCGGAATAGTTTGAATATACTGACTAATTGTTTTATAACCATCCAACCTAGATAAACAATTTCAAGTGATATACAAACTTTTATATAAGAAATTTTGGTGAGATTATAATTTATGGATGACCTTTGAGAGACGCTAAAGTGGCCTTGAGAATGTCCACCTACCTACTAGGGTTAAATGAGGGTTATAAACCCGTGTGAAGAATAAGGATTATGATTTACAGTTGATAGTTAGGATTAGGAATTAGATTTAGGGTTTTTATTACAAACTAACGTCAAATAAAATGCTAAGACGTTCTCTGACCAAACGGATGAATGAATTTCACGCCAAAATCCAAGACCTGATATCATGAATCTGAGCGGTTTGTCCATGAATTATAGTCTCGCCTTATTTTTTATCTTCATTTCTCTACATTATATTTAGAACTTCGTCTTATGTCCAGCCCATTGCCTTTTTTCAATTATTGTCGAGCAGAGTCAATTATATTAGCCGAAGATTGTTGGCTTCAGAAACAAATACAATCAAGTGACCCAATAAGAGCAGAGGATAAACATCCATCATCCTCTATTGCTAAACATATAATTGAAACAGGTCACAAGATTGATCTAAATTCAGCTTTTGTAGTGCTGTATAAAAGTGTAAAAGGGCGTATACTAAGGTTCATTGAAGCCTTAGCCATACGAAAATTCAAACCCCCTTTATGTGTTCAAAAACAGTTTGTTCTTACCTTAAACCTACCCTGGTAATATTGACTTATTATCCAGAGTGATTAGGTTTCAAATTGTGTTCACATTATTATTATTATTACTCTTATCATTATCCTTATCTCCTCTTACCCCATTTCCTGTCTAGTTGACCTTTTATTTATATATATAAATGCTCTTAACAAGTATATGTGTGACCAGATTGTTCGAAATGTATTGCGCAAATATATCACATAGTTCTGATAATCTTCGTCTTCTCATTGCATTATCGAAATTTATCAAAGGGACTAATTGTTTTAAAGAAGATTGTTTCGTTTTTGATTCCATACATATATAAATTGAAAACTTATTTAAATATTTGCTAATAAGCATTGCTAACAATATTTACCTGGTCTTGAAAACCTGATAAAAGAAAGGCTTGCACAATTTTTTCTACATTTGTTCCACAAGAATGCATATAATTAGTCAATCCTGTACTTTGGGTAATCTGTTTTAGTTGACCACGTACACGTACAGCTGTTTCTAGACGAGATCTGTTTATAAAATTAGCACGACACCATTGAAGCTTTGAATTACGCTTGGACAATTTACATTTTGACGGAGACTGTGTAGAAGAATCTATATTTGATTGAGAATGATTTTTCGAATTGACCGATTTCGCTGAACGAGCATCTTTAGTAGCTTTAATAAATCCACGATAAACTAAAAGGAGGCTGACGAGGTCACCAGATGGATGACGAAACCGAGACTGAACCTACATATAAGTAGATCATATTACATACATTAGCTAAGATTTAAAAAAAGGGTACAAACGTAACATATGGTGAGAAGGACAAAAATATTTAATCCAAGATACTTAACACAATTGTATTGTCAATCGTATCCTGAATTTACGATATGAAAATAGAAAGAATATGTGTACGATCAAAACAAAACGAGATGGTTAACTTTCATCTTATGAATGTTTATTGTACACTGAAATTATGACTCGATTTACTTAACATGTACAGATCTGTATACTTTGTATTCAGTGTTTGTGTAAGGACTAGTGATACTACTACCAGGCTGCCGAAACCGAAAAAGATGGAGTAAGGGGTTTGAAACCATGACTTGCTTGCTTGGAACTTGGATGTTTTAGTCACTAGGCGATCGATTCACACTCGATTAATTATTATTCTAATCTATTATACTAGCATGTAATCATATCGTTTGCAAGCAAAGTTATTAGTTCAGTTATAATATTAATGTTACGGTTTTCTAAAAGAGTGAATGGCAATTTTTGCACAAGAGAAAGCTACACTTGTCATCAAATATGAGAATATAAGGATTATAACGTTTGTGCTGAAAATTCTCATTAAGAAACAATTTTTTATCAGGGTACAATAGTTGACTAAACAGTTTGACACTGCGAAGGAAATTGATGGTAAAAAAAAATCCACATTTCTCAATTGTAATAGTAATAATCATGTACTCAACCCATGATTAACTTCGGTCTTTTGAAATACATTTTCAATCATATATATCTCGATGTGCTAACGACAATTTGTGCTAACAGTTTTTGTGTATATGAAGAATGTCTGTCATTAGTTTCGTGGATTTAACGAGGGACCATGGTCAGAAAATTAATAGTGTCGAGAGTTATACAATTAGATATCACCGTGACAGTATTGGGTGATGGTTGTGAATGAATAAGAGCTGAATCACTTTCAATGAACAGTGACTTTAAACTGAACCCCATCCATTTTAGCTAACAATTTAACCAACAAAGATGCACTTTTATGCATCTTCATTTTGTTGAATATATCGAGTAGAAATGATTCAGTATTGTGTGAATCGAAAAATAACACTCCGAAAAGGTCCTATATACCAAGAACAGTAGTATTTTGAGACAAAGATCCTTAAAATTTGTCTGAGTATAGTGGTTATGTATATAAATTTGCAGTTGTATGAATGAAGATAATAAATGATACGTTGGACCAGTCAGACATAGATGAAATGATAAATGAGATGCTGATGGTCAAAGTCTATTTATCAAGATTTGGTATAACTTTTTGAGGAAATAGACATACGCAATTGGTTGAAAATGCGGTTTAATTCATGATATATATATGAATGATGTGTGCTGGTCGTGCTAGTTAATGAAAGCAAACTACTGACTTTTGGTTTTCTCGATCAATTAGTTGGTTTTCGCAAATGTAAAGAAAAAGCTTATATCAGAAGCAGACGCAGGCGACCATAGAGCATAACAGCAATACAGTTTCAACTGTGATGTATTCAAAAGACAGACTAACGTAGAGTCATATTTTTTTAAAAAGGGGAAAAAACTTTACCAAACTTACATCTGAAAATTCATTACGTTTTTCAACTGGCACATAAAACACAGGACAAACATAAAGCATACTTATAATACTTAGTATTTCGATTAGACAACCCAAATAAGCGGCAGAAATCAATGTTCTGGAAAATCTTGGCTCCAATGGGAAAGCTGACATAAGTCGTCCAAGAACTGTTAGCTTAAATAAATTTAGAAACAATGGAAATAAATAACAATTTACAAGTATATTGTAATAATCTAAAGTTGAAAAAACACTAATGGCCTAAATTTTGGCCATTTTTTCTGATCATTAGTTTTAATTTATAACTGTGAAACTTGATGTGAGAATTTATTAAAAAGAATACTGTTCAATTCCTAAGTATTTTTATTTCCCCCCCTTTTTGTTGATGTTAAGGTCTGCACAATTGATCAGTAACTAGTGGCACATGTCCATCCTGATTTACTCGATATTTCCATATAGTCATGAGTTTTATCTAAGTCAGGTAGTGACCAGCAGTGGAAACCCAGGATGGGCAGTCCGATCTGTTTGGAACCCATCAGATAAGTGTGTTGATATTTACATTGGGACTCGAACACCGTATCTTCCGCATAAGTACAAAGACAAAGGAAATAAAAAAGTAGGTAGCAATTAAGAGAATATAATATCCAAATTTACTGGGAAGCTAAACATGCAAAACTTAATTTAAACGAAATAAATGAAATCAAACACAAGAAAGCATGAGATGACATTAAACTCAAACTTTAGAGCAAAATAAAAAATAGACGCAATTACACATCTATGACCAATTATTCTTCCGTTTCAACTTGAAAGCCCGTATATAATAACGTGGTTCAGGTCAACAGTCAGCAACTTGACGATTTTACACTGACCGCCCCTTTAACTTTTCGAGGCTTCGACTGACAATGGATGTCTGAATAGGCGATGGCTAAACACTTATTAAATGTATGAGTAACCAATGATAAGACTGACCTAATTATTATTAAATAACTTACAGAGAGTGGGTAGGGAATTTTTACAGAATCATTTAATTTATTTGAATCCGTGCTAGTTATTGCCTCTTGAACGCATTTGGAAGATAACGGTTCTACTTCATCATCATCCACTACAACAGCACCTAACTGAAGAAGTAGTTTGATCCCAGCTTCAATAGAGGACGGTTTAGGCGAAGATAGCCATGGAAATTGGGTAGGATTCTAAGTGCAAAAACAACGATCACGTTAATAGATATGAATCAAACATCAACGAAATCTAACATTGAAATAATAGTAATAAAAGTCTAGTGAAAATTCTCATTTTGACATTTGGTAAGAAGAACGAATAGAACGAAGAAACTTCTTTCCAATTAGCTTTCATTATGGCATTACACTATTTTATATATGTGTAGGATTTACAATAGTAGAATAACACTCATCGAGTTGTCACCTTGCGTAATGATTACATAATGTCACATTGATTATATAATCAATACGCAACTACTATAAGAGAGTTATTTCATTACTGCACATCATATATATGTGTGTAGAGCCACGATGAAAAATTAATTGAGGAGAAATTTCTTTGCTCGATTCGTTCTTTTTAGAATGAATGACAAAGAATTTTACTAAATTGCTCGTAGAAAGACGAAAACAACTCGGTTGTAGCTGGTGATGATTAAACTTGCTGATTGTGATAAATTGATTGGATTTGATTAAGTTGTTGCTGTTAGGATATTTATCATGTCAATACACTTGGTTATAAAGTAATAAACTCAAAAAATTGAAATTATAAAATCGACGTTTTACTGTTAACTACATTATTGGTTAACAAAAGTTAAATAATTCCTACAAACGGTCAACACCTTTAAAGGTGCAGCATCGTTAAAAACAGAAAGATGGGCTATACAAAATTACTCAAATCTATTACCTCTTGAAGTATAGATTACTAATTAAAGATCTATAAGAAAGCGGTAAAACTTCATTTCTTTGTTTCATTTTTGACTGCATTTCCATTCATTTATTTATTTAAATACACAAACATTGGTACAAGGAGGCACCAAATAGATATGCGACACATAAATCATTCGATATATGTTAGGGTTGGGATACTGACCGGTCGTCCAAATCGGAGCAGGTAGTTTTCCTAGGGGACCACACCTGAAGTCTTTGGTCTAAAGGTTTGATCCACAAGGCAGTGGAGCAACGTCAGCAAATGCAGTCTCACAGTAGTCGGTGACCAACGATTGGTTCATACGCCATTTGGTTCCTCTGGAGCCTATGTGGTTTGGAATCGGAGTTCTTCAACTCCCCTAAGTGGACTCTCCGTGTCCGCCAACCCGGTTAAAGCACCGGACATTCACTTTTCGTCCTCTCAATTTCGTAAACAACATCCTCGTCGCGAGAAGACAGTGAGTAGAACTTCCCTGTCAGTGGTTGTATGCATGTGGCCATGTAAGAGCATTTCAAGAGGGAGAGCTGACTCTCCCTACCCACGACCGTACCAGGGCATTTCCATCCGACTACGTGTTTTTACTTTTTGAGATTAAATCAAATCAACTCATTCACCAAGTACCTAAGTATGAGGGTAAACGATGCTGTAGTTAACGAGAACACAGGCGTGGATAACCAAATGTATTTTACGGGATTTGAATCGACAACTGCATCTCTGTGCTAATGTGGTATGGCAACTCAAACTGATGTACGTACGTAGGAAGTTCTACGTTGTTACTGACTGACCAAAAGTATTTGAATGCAAAATCTGAGAACCATACAGTAAATACTTCATCTGCAAAATATTCATCAATTGTCTCAGACTTTGTTGTTCCTTCGTTTCCATACCAATCACTCCCTGTTCTCGTTCTCTTCTCCTCGATTTTCTCAAACTCCAGATGCCATGCATTCCACTTTCGACTGGTGATATATACTACTTATATCTGTCAACATCAGTAGCACACACCACAATACTACCCAGAAACCAAAACTGAAGCAAGAGAAATGGATTCGAACTTAGTGGATGAAATTTGAGTGTCTTAACCAATAAGCCACAGCTTTATTCCTCTTGCCTACAATACTATTACTTATGAAATGAGAAAAAGTATTTTACACTAGTAAGTACTATGACTAGATTCTATGCTATTTATTTTTCTGTCAAGTAGCATTAAAACGTACATAAGTGGTTGGGAAAGATACGAAACGTATCTGTATTTCATATATTATCAAATATTAAAATCGATGTGCACAATGAAAGGCCTAAGTTTTATATATCTGCATGAATAAAGATACGCATACCTTAGGAAAAATAAAACCTTAAGTATAAGTGTGTGTAGAGGGAAAGATTTAATTTGAAACAGGGTAAAAGTTAGCATTACCGAAACCGAGAAAGTTTTTGGAAATGTTTTTAGGTCACATATCTATTTTTATATGTACAAAGGGGTTAAAACAATTTGATTTTAGAAAATCTAAGTAAATGTGCAACCATCAAGCATGAGGTGTAACTAGACGATTAATTGATAATAACGAAAATCTTATCAATACTAAACAATGCAAAGAGCCATTTATACAATTCCATGAGAATAAAAAGTGTGAAAGTAGTATTGATAAGCGTAGAATAGATACAGGTTAACAGATGTATATTTTATATATGCACTGGTACTTTCGGAGAAGGTAAACGTAAAACCTTGAATGCGTTCTTAGTAGGCTTAAGGTAATGCGACTGCCATGTATGTATTCTATGATTACCTCTCAATAACCTGTTCACAGCCACAGTTAAAAAAATGTAATTAGTTACTAACTTCGAGGTGCGATTCCTTGGGGGAACCTTAGCTAGTTGGAGTCCCACCATGTCGGAAGTGGGACAGTTATTAACTGCATATAGTAGGAGATGGTCACTTAATATCGTGAATTCACTGTAGCTAGATATGGACACTATTAAGTATATAGTAGTCTAAAGGTTAGGGGGTCGCGGAGAAACCTAAGATCCTGACTTTGATCCCCAATGGGGTTGTGAATGTGTAATGATAAGAAGTCTCATACAAAGATAAAATAGTTGTCCAGTGCCATCTGGTTTTCAGTGGTTGTTTAACTAGGATCAGTCCATGATGTAAGCTATGGGAAATATAATTATTTCAAGTATGCGAAGTGTTATGGTCAATAGGATTAAAGTGGTTCAGGTTACATGGAACTAAAAGGGTAATATCTTGTCAAGATTTTGGATGTACGCTTTTTGTGTGTACAAAATAGAGGTAATCTTATCGTATACATAATCATCAGTATACAATGCAAATCATGTGAAATCTGCTGCTGAATTGAGAATTTTGATTGTTGGTATTATCAAAAAGAATGAAAATAATAAAGGTATACATGAAGAAGAATATTGACATGTAATCAATATACTCAGATCACAGAATGATTCTTAATGTAATTCAATACTAATTGATGGTTATATAGGAAAATGAAGTGTTAAAATCTATGAACTAATTTTCTATGTACAAATTAGTTAGGAAAATTTCGATCAAAATAACCAAATCGACCATATATTCAACAAACGAAGATGTAAATACTTTGAAAGTTTCTTCGGTGCTTTGTATATGACAGTAAATGATGAACATCTTGTTAATTTTATGTGTGACACCAAAAAGGTGCTGCTCTATGATGCTAAACATTCCGTACGAATTAGTCCCAATGGTATCGTACCAGCTTAATAACACTTTGACGGTCCCCACGTGATAGGGAACACAGATGATTTTAGGTGGGTGGGTTCTTTCTCTAGCTGATCTAACGACTTAACAAATAACATTCTTACACTTTTAGTCGGAAAATGGATGTGTTCGACATTATCAAAATGAGCGCCAGACACAAGTGAGATAGCGAATTAGTGAGTATATCAGAGTGTACAGAGGAAAGCATCTCGATGACTCATTCAAGATCTTTATTCTAATTATTGAACTGTTTGAATATTTATATTTTTTTTGCTCTTGGAGCTAAGTCAACAAGAGAGCTTGTGAAAGATCCATGACACGGTAATACCTTCCTGGTATTCGTCTTCTTCTGCTACAGTTAACTCAATTAGTTGTCTGTGGCCAGTTAGCTACGTTGCCGAAAACTTCTAACATCCCCATGGTCTCGAAAGGGAATGAAATGAAGACTATTAGGAGCAGTTAACTCGTAATAAAAACCATATGAAAGGCATAGTAACTAAACGATGTACAGATAAATGACAGTAGCAACAATAAACTTGACAGAAAATGTGACTTCATAAGAAAAGTTTGTAAGAATACAACTTGAACAACTCACTAGAAATTTCCAAGATTTAAATATCGTTTTTAGGATATCAGAACAAATTTGAACAAGTAAGCAAGTAGATTCCATACACTGCCTCAAAGTGTGTTGTAAAAACGTTATACACAATACCGTATGTAATAAATGCATTAACGATCATAGATTACGAGTAATCTAAAACCCTTTACTTACCTTTATATTCATAGATACAAGGTTCAGTAAAACTCCACTAAGTGGAGCTTGCAACATCTGCGGTCTAGGTTGAAGTGGCATATTTTTATATTCTGAATCAGTATATAATCGAAGACAAACACCTGCTGCTTCACGTCCAGCACGACCTGAACGCTGCCATGCTTGTCCTTTGGAAATCCATTGAACACGAAGACATTCAAACCCGGTTTTAGGATCCCAGTCTCTATTAGAATAATTAACAAGAAAAATAACTTACTGAAATTTTTATATACTTCCGTTTTAATAACTATGGAATGAAATGACAATCATCAATGATAATATATATTTTCCACTTATTCTTTCATCAGGTATAAGTCTGTGTACTTGGCTATGAGTCTCATTCTAAATGTGAAAGCTAGTGATACGCCCTCCAGTCATCCAAGCAGTAGGTGAAGAGCAATTCGAAACTGGGAATTAGTTTATAGAATAGACAGATTAGAGTTAACAGTGGAATTCAGGACTCACTTTTCGCACTATTTAGAACTCGTCAGTTGTATGTGCCTACATCTCAGTGGGTCTCGAATCAAGTGCCCTCTGCTTCAAATAGCCGACGTGTTATCTACTGAGTCTAGACAGTCAATCATTTGTGAAACGGGTAAAATAACCATATAATTGTTTATAATATTAGCTGACAATGGAATAATTCAAATCCCTTCTAATAATGATACTGAGACATGGTGGTTCAGAGTTGGAACACAACGACAGTAAAGACTGATAATTAAATGATTTTATCAAGTGTAAATTGATAGATCAATCATTTTGAACAACAACCTACTTTTTAAGACAACAATAATTGATTATTTTTTTTTAGTTTAATTAATAATTGTGATTAATATTCACAAACTAACATGGATAAATGGCACCTCAATTATGATCAATCCACAATTTTTAATTTCAATGTCTATATTGAAAGTTCAAGAAAATATTGTCCAACTTTTACATAAGTAAACTGTTGGGGTGATCTGGCAAATTTCTCGCAAAAGACAATCAAAGATCAGGAAATACTAAGAAGCATTTCCTTCAATCAGCATTCATTTGAAATTTTAGCTTAAAATATTAAGGAAGTGAAACATCACATGTAGAGGTTCTGATTGCTACACTGCTACTATGTTTAGTAGCATTCCAGAATCTTTTAGTAACCCAAGGACATTTAAAATATTATAAAAACCCTGTATTATCTGTATTGAAAGGAACCTTGGAGTAAACTACTTCTCGCATACTTTGCGTCTTCTCTCTCGTGTTTAGGTCGCTGTATAGTTCTAGCTTGGGGGTTACAGAATAGCTTAGGAAAGGAATATAGCGTTCAATTCGCAAGACTTATCATAAACAATCAGTTCCCGGTAGAGTTATACTTAGTTACTAACAAGTTAGCTATATCATACTATCAATCAACTAGTGAACAACATGTAAGATTAATATACATATGAACCTACTTAATTAGGTTTTAGTATTAAAATTTGTCTTATATTTTCACTTCAATATGTTGATATAAATTAGTATTTAGAATAGACAATGTTTATGTACTAAAGAATGTGATCTAGTATCATGTTTTCTATTAGTGAATATAAATTATGAGGACTGTGAGAAAATAGATCATAATGATTTGTTGAAATTTTCATAAGAATTAAAAACTATGACCACAAATAATAGAGCAATAACATTCTAATTAGAAACCATGTTAAAATGTGAAAATTGTACTTTTAAAACACTTGAATACAGTAATAATAAAAAGATACTGTGGTGTGTGCTACTTATATTGACATAAGTAGTAGATGATGTTAGTCGTGAACAGAAGGTCTGGCAGCAAAGAGAGACAAGAGGATCGGACAGTAAAGAACAATGAAATCTGAGTCATTTTGAGACAATTGATGGACATTTTGCAAATTGAGCATTTAATTTATGATTGTTAGATTTTATTAACAAGTCCTGTAATTTTGTGTTGAATACATTCGACTGTCCCCAGTCGTGTTCTGTTCACTACAATACCAATGTTAGTTTATATGGTTATGATACATAAATGTCCTATACTGAGGTTATGCTAGGACTGATTCAAAATCAATGGCATATGAAGTAATAATTTCAATGAACAAATTATCCATTTGTTAAATAGATTAGCTGTCTTTCTTCTATTTATTATATATTAGTTTACGATGTATATGTGCAATACATTGAAAGTCTTACTCTATTAACATACAGTTTCAATTACCCGATTGTTTTCATTTTTCGTTGACCCTGCGTACCCTGGTACGATCAAGATTCTAGAGAATTTAACCTTCCTCTAGAAATGCTCTTATACAGTCATGGGTTTGTGATCTATTAAACGCTGAGCATTACATTTCTGATAAATAATACTTCCTTATAGTTTAAGGTTGGGTAGGGAAATTCATGTGACTCAGTATGAAACAAAATAATGGAGAGTGAAAGTTTGTGTCACTTAATCCAATCCTGTTTAAATTAATGTTTGGAGACCTGTATAATTCTTCGGAAAAGTCTTCAGAAGCTGAGAAAAGGCTGGAAAAAAATACTTCGATTGACCAATTGTAAATAAGAACTTTTCAGTGTTTTGGAAAGTTGATGGGATACGTGTCATCCTGACTGAATAATTACCGATTTTCTTATCAATCTTCCAGAAGACCAAAAAGAAAAATATAAATATTCTTGTTTTCTATACTTAAGATAACCTTGGAAGTAAAACGTTTCCTTATGCTACCTGTCTTTTTATCTTTTGTTTGGAACTCAAATAGTAAGGAAATCAATGTTATATATATATATATATATATATATCAAATCGACTTAATTGTTTACATCAGTTCGTAAAATGAATGGATTTCATTGATTAGATAAAAACTGTATAGTAATGAAAGGAACAATGTGACTAGTGGTTGAAGAAGATTAAAAAACGGTCTTTTTAACAAAAAGAAGTGACAGAAACGATTATATATCGATTAGAAGAAGCCTACTTTATTTTTGCGCGTCCACAATCTATCACATAACGTACACCTGGGATGGTGATGGATGTTTCAGCTAAATTTGTACTGACAATCACTTTACGCGCATTCTAGATTAAATGGCAAAGAGAAAAGTGAAACATATTTAAATGCAAGGTGTTGATGTGTAGTATTGATTACAGTAACAACAGTTATGAAATCATAAACTAATCCGAGGAGGTTTTTCAACGGCTTGATCTTTGAGAAAATGCTCAGAATCTATGAATACAAGTTCGAGTCATCAGTCTGGAATCTTTAGACTACGAACAGAAGCTTCTAAACCAAATTGGTTTAGAAATACATATACTCACATGGTTAACCACTGCGTAAAAACACTTTCATTGTTGGTAGTAGTAATAAAAAATAATACGTAATCAACCAATCTGCTCAGTGGAATTACGTAGTAATTGAACAACATATAATCATCCAAGAACAAACACATCAAGTCACGATCTCAAGTGCGACTATAGACGATGAGAACTGGAGATTATAACAATCGTTAACGATTTATAATTGATTCATTTCACTAATCAACCGTACAAACATATATTTGGCAATCCAATAAGTTAATATGATCCTCTACACGGTTGTCTCTTTTTATGCTACAATAATAAAAACGGAATGCTGATTATTTCTGTGTTTGTGATTGATGTTTTGAGTATTCATTTCATGTAAGTACATCGATTTAAACAAAACGTATGTTCTTCCCAGTGTGAATTTATAAGAATGCTATTAATGATTAACTGTGAAAACTAAAATTGTGAATAGCTGACCAATATTCCAAATTATGAAGTTAGTTAGTTGAAAAACGTTGGTAATAAACCCTGGATATGCGTTTTATGATGGTTAGCATTCATTAGGTTTCAATAGTAACCGCAATCGAGAGGGAACTATTGATACTTCTAATTGGATTCAAACTCGCATAATTTATTGTTACAATTACAAACATGTATCAATCAACTACTCAGAAGTGACTCTTGATTAGAAACAATTCAACATATTTTCAAAGTTGAATTCACGAGTCGATCTAAGCTAGATCACGATTGAAAACCTGGAAGCACTGGACAGCCGTTTCTTCCTAGCATGGGATTCCTTGGCAGTGCGCATCCTGCATGCGGAGCTCGAACCTAGGACCTTCTGTCTCGCGCGTGGACGCTTAAACTATAAACCACTGAGCCGATATACAACAGTGAAAGGTTGAGCAAGATCAAGGACCGGTTGAAATTAGACATCAACACCTTTGAATGCAGGCTCAGTAGTCTGGAGGTTGTGTTCGCGCGCGAGAACGAAGGTCCTAGGTTTGAGTCCCATGTGCTAGATCGTGGGTGCACACTGACGAGGAGTTCCATGCTAGGACGAAATGGCCATCCAATGCTTCCAGGTTTTCAATAATGGTCTAGCTTAAATCGACTCGTGAATTCAACTTTGAATCTTCTAGTATAGACTACTTACATTATCACAAAAATTTAATGCTTTCAACTGTTGGATCTGAGGTAATGATGAGAAAAGTGGAAATACTACAAGTCTGTTTTTAGTTGAATCTATTTGATCAATATTTGTTGAATGAGATAATTGTTTGATTAAGGAACAACATCGCATAATCTCTTCTTCACCAGTTAGAAAAATTAAAATACCACGGTCTAAAGGAGAATTCTTTGAATTGTGAATCTAGTAAGGAAAAAACAGTAACAGTACCAAAAAAATTAGAGTTTAGACAAAACAATTCTCAGTATAAATGAAGACAACATATATGAGTGAATAATATTGTTGACAATTACATCATCAGGCTTTACTTCATTCAATATACAGAAATATTTATAAGCATATATGAAAATATTTGATCGACCAAGATAATTTATGATTCAATCATAACAATGAAGTAGATTACGAATATTTGTACTTGGCTTCAGTCAGTCAGTCAGTAACAACGTAGAACTTCGCACGTACGTACATCAGTTCGAGTTGCCACACCACCTTAACACAGAGATGCAGTTGTCGATCCAAATCCCGTAGTGGTAGAGGTAGCCAGAGTGTAAGCAGTGATCGGCTTTGAACACATTAATCATGTGGACTAATGATAATAAACCTACTGGAAAAACCAAAATAACTGGAGAAGAGGTTGGAATATACCAAGTGATTTATTTATTATTTATTTCAACACATAGATAATGGTACAAAGAGGCACCAAATACATATGCGCCACACAAATCTCATTCGATATGTGTGAGGGCTGTGATACTGCCCGGGTGCCCAAAACGAAGCAGGTGGTTTCCTTAGGGGGCCACACCCCGAGCCTTCAACCCAAAGGTCTGATCCACAAGGCAGTGGAGCATCGTAAGGAGATGCAGTCCCATGGAAGCCGGTGACCAACAATTGGTTCATACGCCATTTGTTCCCGCAGGATACTGGAGCCCATGTGCACCATTGGTTTGGAATCCGGTTAAAGCGCCGGACATTCGCTTTTCGTCCTCTCATTTTCGTAAACAACACCCCCGCCACGAGAAGGCAGTGAGTAGGACTTCCCTGGCAGAGGCTATATACGCGTGGCCGTGTGAGAGTATTTCGAGAGGGAGAGCGGACTCTCCCCACTCTCGGCCGTACCAGGGCATTTGGGGGCAGTGATTTAACCACTAAGCCACCGACAAAACAACTTAAGTGATATTGTAGTGAACCAGAACACAAGTGAGGACAATCTAACGTATTTGAACGCAAAATAGCAGAATATTTTAGTAAAATCTGAGAACCATACAGTAAACACTGCATTTGCAAAATGTCAGTCAATCGTCTCAAACTTGACTGTTCCTTTTGTAAATATCAGTCAATCGTCTCAGACTTCATTGTTTCTGCATTTCCATACCAACTGCTTTGTGTTCCCGTTCTTGCCTCCTCGATCTTCTTGAACTTCTGCTGCCAGACATTATATTCCTAGTGTTATATACTACTTGTGTCGATATAAGTAGGACACACCACAATATTATTTGAGAACGTTCAGATGTGAAATTTGGTAATCGTGCCTGTTAAGACTGAGAGACCTTTACTGGATAAAATGCACCTACGTTAACCTTAGCGTCTGTATGCAAATAACATGAAGACACTTCTAAGATAAAAATTAACCAATGAAAAATAACATTGTATTGAGCTTTTGAAATTCTATCCGCGTTAATAACTGGCATGTTAGCCATGTCTACACAATACTCTCACTAAGATGTTGGCCGAAGTATAGTAAGTGGAAGAGAACCCATAGTGAATTGTTCATTGAAATAGTCAACTTTCAGTTACCAAGTTGCAAAGGTTGAATCTTGACCTATGTGTTTCGCCTTGGGTGTCTGACATGTTGAGTCAGTATAGACACATCTTGCCTGTGCTCACATGCTGTTTCAAGGCAACGAATTATGAACGAGGGACGATATTTGAGGGGGCTGATTAAGCCCCTAGTCAGAATCTCGGGCTGCATGTTCTTTTCTAGATCAGAAGGATAATCCTACATATACCTGTAATTTGTATATATTCCGATTCAGCTAGGTAATCAAACCTCCACACTCGTCCTAGTCTTTTGATATGCAGGTTGGGTTTGGGATACCGTACAAAGTGCATATCGTAACTAAATCGGACCCCCAAACACGGCAGTGACTGAGAGTTCCGCTTAAAGACTAGCACATGAATATGTGCTTAGTCACTGGGTTGTAACAACGGATTAAAAATAAAACGGTATTGCCAAGATCAGAAATATACTTACCCGAATACAAACAGAAGCTGCATCCGCCACATAATCTGTTAAAGACTGAGAAACATTTAGGATCTTGATAGGATGCCGTCGACCTTCTATGTATACAACTTGAGTATGATCTGGGCCAAGGAAATTTAAAAAAGGCGTTGGATCGATTGTAGCTGACATAACAATGATCTAAAAAACAAGTGAACATGAAACACATTTCGTCAGTGATACTCGGCGCATTGACAACTATTTTATCTAGGGTTATGAATCACTCCGTAATAAGAAAATATAGAGGAAACTACTCTGGATAAAATGACTTAACAAATACTGGTCAATCCAATGAATAAACTGAGCTCATGAAAACTTTAAAAAATTTAGAGTAAATCAATGTTTCTTCCTTCAAAACAAACCCAATCTGTTGAATTATACTTGTTTCATCCCCATTCCCATTGTTCGAAACATTTCTAGAAGCAATCAAATGTTAAGATTTTGGTCGCTACACTGTTTTGCACCTAATCGTCTCTATGATCATTTAGCACTTTGACAAAGAAAATAGGTCGTAGATGGATGTCCGGTGGGTAAAGTGTGATCTAATGTGGAAATCAGATCACAGACAGTCACAACTGAATGTGCAAACACATAATTTTGGTGCAGTAGTTATCCATCAGTGCCACATAAATCTGTTGGTATACGAGGGCGAAGCGCTTGAAAGCCTTCCAGTAAGTAACATTTACTGCTTGTTCTTTATGAAGTTCATGGCAGAAAGCATATTAGTGACCTAATTTAAGTAATTATTGGGGAAACCATGTATAAATGTCAAGAACAAATATCGACATGAGATGATATGTACGAAATGAAAGTCAGCAAAAAGTCTGGAATTAAATATCATGCCTCTTAGAACACGTCAAGAAGCATATTTTTAACCCAAATCTAACAACTCTTTAATTGCAAGCAAGTTTTATAAAGTAACCTATGCAGAATTCATGACCGATAAGATAAGCCTAAACTATATATACAACGATAACTGTTTGAATACTAGAATTTTAAAAAATCACATCAGGGTTCAGCCTGAATACCTGGTGCATATCAAGATTCAGGGAAGCATTAATGACATGTTTTGCGAAGTGAAACTGATTTTACAATCATACATTAAGATGTAATATAGTTAAACTCAGCTCTATCGATATTGAGATTTAAGCAACAAGGTGGAAAATCTAGTATTTAGATAAGAAATACACTAATAATCCACAAGTTAAAATGAACTATGTAACAGGTTTAACTGGATTACTCTAGTCTTTCTTAAAACAAATTAGTTTATTTGTTTCCGTCTAATACGTTTATTGCTTTACTGACATTAGTTTGAATTTCAGTGAGCATTTCCAGAATAATGACATAACTATCATTGTAGATCATTCAGATTTGAATAATTTTAATATTTCAGATACCTATTGAGTTAGAAAAGAAAAATCGAATGTAATCTAGTGAATAAAGTTGTAAGTTACGAGACATAGGTTTTTTTCTTCAAAAACCATTAGCCTACTATTATATGTTTGAATTGCGGTCATCAGCATGATTTAAGCTACTTATTTTATCCTATTCGAAACTTGCTAACTGGATGGATGTGTCTGCATTGAAATATTTATGTTCAAACAGTAATTTATAAGCTTACATATATATATTTCACAACTTTAAGAGAAAAACTAATTAGGATCGTTTAAGTTATAGTTATAAAGTACAACGAAGAATCGTGATAGTATTTTCCATTCAGTAGCAGAGACTCATACCGTTTCATCCAATATTAAAACGCTTAGAGAATGAAGTAGACTTTCGATACATACTAATTTGCATCGTATTTTCAAATGATAATGATTTTCAGTTGAAAACTATGCATTAATCAATCAATTGCTTTGAATGTCTGTGGAAAAATGATCTATCAAATAAATATAAGGTTACGGAGTAGTGTGGTTTTTGCATAAACGGAATTATTAAATAAATAGACTTACCTTTAACAAAGGAAGGAACTTTTTTTTATTTTGAATGTCTTTCCTTATACCATTTAATTTACTAGGCAGAAGGGTATTATTAAGATTTTGTTGAAGAGAGTGAAGTTTTGAACGTCTTTTCGCCGCGGATAAAACTACTCCGAATAATATATCAGTATTCAAACTGCGTTCATGAGCTTCATCCAAAATAATAAAACGATAACGTGAGAGATTAGGATCTAGGATAGCTTCACGTAATAGCATACCATCAGTCATATATTTTAAATGTGTGGACTTTTCACTTGACATATCTTCAAATCTTACACTATAACCAACTGGTCCGATGCCAACAGGACCACGGTCCATTTCATCTGCAACACGTAGTGCAACACTTATAGCAGCGACACGCCTAGGCTGAAGTAGTAGAAAAAGGATGGATTATGGAACTAAACAATTATCAATATAAGTAATGGCAGAGTACTTAAACTAACCTTGTAAGTCAAAAACACACATAAACCAAGACAAACCATGATAAGCTTTACACAAACAACTAGCAAGTTTCCCACTGTCTCCATTATAACAGTGCACAGTATAGGCACATTCCAGATACACAACTTTATGGACGTGATTTTATTACTAAACGTTATGATGTAAGATATTAAATGAACTAAGTATACAAATGAGTGAGTTACATTTTCTTCAGACGTATATACGTACATAGTAATATTAGGGATTTATTTCAGATACTACTACGTATGTTATCCTGATGGCTCTAAAAGTTATCTATATGACAGCAAATTATTGATATGTAATATGCACGTTTCTGGTTATCAACCAAAGGACATGTTTACTGCGCAGTAGTTCGTTCCGTCCTACTTTATGGCAGTGAAATATGTCCGGTAAGAGTAGAGGATATTCGTACGCTACTAGTATTTGATCATAGGTCTTCGAAAGATTGCTCGTATATCCTGTGACCATCGAGTGAGTAACGCGGTTGTCAGGAAACGGGTACTAGGTAAGGATGGCAAATCAATTGATGAAGTAGTGAAACTTCATCTGTTGAGATGGCTGGGACACGTGTTACGTATGCCCAACCACCGACTGCCTCGATGTTCGATGCTCAATGGTATAGGAGTAGGTTGGAAGATAGGGGAGGCCAGATCAAAACATGGCACAAGTCCATGAAGTCACTGATAAGTGCACTGAGCTATGTTGGTAGGTGTAGACTACCTGGTTGGGGACCACGAGATGATAGCAACTGATGGTTAAAGACCCTGAATGAAATGGCTCAAACTCGTTTGCAATGGCGCAGGTGCATCCACTCTTTGTGTTCTCCCAAATTTTAATCTTCTGAATTGTTCATATCCATTATTTTCTTTCCAAATCTATTTCATCGTATTATACTTCTTGAATAACATCTTCAAACCCTAATCTTTCTGATTACTGCTTATACTCTTACCACCTCTACCACTACGGGATTTGAATGGACAACAGAATATTTGTGCTTATGTGGTATGGCAACTCGAACTGATGTACGTACGAAGTTCTACGTTGTTACTGACTGACTGACGTTTCTGGTTAGAACGTCAAAATGAAGATTAGAGATTTTTTGTCCCACTCACTTTGAAACAGAGGAATTTTCTTTAAACAAAGGTATTCAGTTTTACTAATCAGACGAATCAATAATCAAACACCAGCTGTAACAGACAAGCATATCTTAGATAATTCGAGCATCAATTAGAAAATTCTAATGCAATTGTCGGAATCTAAATGGCTGCGTATTGAACTATTAGTTTATCAAGAAAACAATCCCAATGGGAGGTGAATACAATTTAGAGTTGAACGAAAAAACATTTAAGAGCTACACAATGTTATAGGGGTAATTTCACTAAATGTCTCTAGAGGAAAATTCACATGAGTACTCTGAGTACCTGTCAAATTGCTTACACAAAGCAACTATGGTAATAATCATTATTAAATAATAAATCACAATTAAACAGTACTGCACCATTACCTGAGTTATTGCAATAATCCCCCCGTTAGTTAAATTCTTTTCATATAAAAACTGAGGAATCTGGGTAGTTTTACCAGACCCTGTTGACCCAACAATAACACAATGTTCACTTTTCATAATAGTATCAATCAACACATCTTTATGTTTCCACACGGGTAAAGATTGTCGAGTTCGCAACAGTTCACTTTGGTTTACAGGTTTCTTTGAAGCTGCTAATGTAAAATATGAACTTTACTAACGGTTAGATGATAATTAAAGACTAGGGAAATAATAATAATGGCTTGATATCTCCGAATACAAAACAAGGTTTAAAGTGAGCTACACTAAATAACTACTAACTCTCGCTCGACCACTAGGCATGAACGGTAAACTTTAACGTAACACAGTTAATGTGAAAATACAAAAGTTAGTAACTGTGCGCTCTTTTCGTCAAAGCGGGTAAAAGCCAAATGGTATTTGGAGTCAGGCTTATTGTACAAGACTGGATGAAACTTGAACGATAATTTTACTTTTGATGATTTGATGACTAGAAAAAAGGAAAAGTGCAACCATGGATTAATAACCCCTGTATATGCTGGTAATAAGGTGGTTTATGTGAACACAGAATACGGCGAAATTGAAATAGGTAGACTTCGGCGTGAAATCCGATTCTTCGATCAATGAATTACAACTATTATCAACTGATTAGATTAAAACATAGACGAGAGAAACTAATCATTTCTAAAACATCACAATGCAAATATCTGTAAGTTAAAAAGGCAGTGTTATTTACATAATGAAATAGAAATCGGCCAGTCATGATAAACACAGATTTTGGGACAAATTGATGTTAACCCGGGTAATAAGGAGATAAGAGAACTTATTTACTAACAATGAAACTGAAATTTTTTGAATACGTACCAACCAAAGTGATTGTACCGGTCACTAGACGTATGGGAGACTTGTTTATTTATTTATTTCAACACATAGATAATGGTACAAAGAGGCACCAAATACATATGCGCCACACAAATCTCATTCGATATGTGTGAGGGCTGTGGTACTGCCCGGGTGCGCAGATCGAAGCAGGTGGTTTTCTTAGGGGGCCACACCCCGAGCCTTCGACCTGAAGGTCTGAACCACAAGGCAGTGGAGCATCGTAAGGAGATGCAGTCCCATGGTAGCCGGTGACCAACAATTGGTTCATTCGCCATTTGTTCCCGCAGGATACTGGAGCCCATGTGCACCATTGGTTTGGAATCCGGTTAAAGCGCCGGACATTCGCTTTTCGTCCTCTCACTTTCGTAAACAACACCCCCGCCACGAGAAGGCAGTGAGTAGGACTTCCCTGGCAGAGGCTATATACGCGTGGCCGTGTGAGAGTATTTCGAGAGGGAGAGCGGACTCTCCCCACTCTCGGCTGTACCAGGGCATTTGGAATTTGTAGTTGCTGTATTAACTATAAAAATTATTTTCCAGTCTAAACAAATCCTAATTTTTTCACTGACAAACCATAACGATCAAAAGCTTAAAGAATGGCAAGTCTTTAAATATGAGTTTGTGTGAAAAGGTTCGAGTTATTGTCCGAAGGATACAGATACCACCCGGCTCGTCTAAGGGAAGAGATATTTATGTTTCTATTTATCTGTTCCTGAAGATAATGACGAAAATCGCCCAATTTAAAGAAAATCCACTCTTTTAATATAGGTACTAGTGAACAAAGCGAGTTCAATTCGAAAATTGTTTTTAAAGTAAACCGAGGAGTCAGTAAACAGATTGACAACCACATTGAATGTACAACCACTGGTCTAAGAAAACACGTAGTGCTAGCATCTGTGCAGCCTGATGCTGATGGTAAACAACAATATTTAAGGTTAAAGACATCATGACGTTCATATTTCAGTGTGCACGATGATTTACCTGATAATTCAACTCTCTACGCAAGTGAGATCTCAGTGGGACTACAATTTACGGACGACTTTTGAGCGATACCAAAGTGATCCTGAGCATGTCCACATAATAACTAGGACGAAACGAGGGTTATAAACTAGTGGGAGGAATCAGAATTATGATTTACAGTTGATGGTTGAGGATAGGAGTTAGATTTAGGTTATTCACCATGAATTGACATCAGATACAATGCTAAAACTCTATGTCGTCAAATGGTTGGATGAGTTCCGAGTCAAAATTCAAAACCTGTTATGTTATATTTGATCGATTCGTCCATAAATTATAGTCTTGCCGCAATCTCAATACGAGACGACCAAGACTATCAAAATATTATGAAAAACCGCAATAAAATGCGAATACCTGTTTTAAGTGATGTTCCTGATATATATATAACCTGAACAAGTAGCAGTGGAATGCGTAGGCAAGATCGAAGGAATGATATTTATTAAGAAATCTTAGTGTGAATTTACCCAATATTGCATTGATATAACGCTGTTTATCCGGCCTCGGAGATTAGTAGAACATCTCTAAATTAACACCTTAAAATTCGAATACGTCGGCAGAGGACACAAACGTTGGTTCGTATGGACTGAATTTTGAAAAAATTTAGGCTGTTCAGAAGTTACTTTGGAAAGTTATGACAAACACACTAACTGATTACATGAAAAATCAAGACAAAGTATTACCGTAGAAAAGCTAGACCTCTTTATTCTGTCCTACGGCAGATTAGGAGGTGACCTGAACTTGATGTACACAATAGTAAAAAGTAATTTCGAGTCCTCATTTGACCCCACCAGATCGAACAACTCAGAGGATATTGAAGGGGAGTAGGAAAGCTAAGAACGAACGGTGAGACTATAATTTATGGACGAAATTTTAGCGACGCTGAAGTGCCCTTGAGGGAACAACTTCTAATTAGGACTAAATGAGGGTTAAAAAGCAGTTGAAATTCTCATTTATAGTTGATGGTTAGGGTTTAAAATTAGATTTGAGGCTTTCATCACGAACTGACATCAGCTATAATGCCCAAACTCTATTTAGCCGGATGTATGAACAAATCCCGCGCCGAATTTGTGAATCGTTAACTTATATCTGATTGGTTCGTCCATAAATTAGTCTCGCCGAACGAACATATTACCCGTGGCACACAGGTTTTCCCACAGTGCCATAAATTCTGGGAACCTGCTACCCAAAGCAGTGCAGTATGCACCCTCAATCGACTCATTCAACAGGAGACTAGACACAGAAGCCACTAGGAAGGAAATAACATGTGCCATCGGCCTTCTGTCCTTAATACACGAGTCTGAACCCGTAGAATTTAACCCATGTAGAGCGCTGACGAAAACCTCACAGAAAAATGCAACCCGAAGAGAATAAATTCTGCCACAAATAGAGGATTGGACTAATTTCTGATAAAACGAACAACATACTCTTCATCTCATGAGGGTGGCGCACGGAGATGCATCTGGCGCCAACATATATGACCTTGAAAAGGAAAAATCACTTCAACTAATCCGAAAAGTTCCTAGTCGTTGGATATAGTGGTTTTTATGATACCATAGACATGTACATAATATTAACAGATCACTAGTAAGTAATATATTTTTGTTTTTTCAAGAGCAGTGTTGCTCACCCGGAATAAATTCAAGGTTTCAACTAGTTTCAAATTGTTAGATGAAGATTTCGCTTAACAGGCTACTGTATTTATGAACAGTCGATCACGGATGCTTGCAGTTAGGAACTCAGGTATATTAAAGAATAAAGGAGAAAAAGTTATCGGTAAATTACAGAGAGATATTGTTCTTAGTGCTTAAGAATATTGAAGGTGCCACAGGTATTTGAGTTTTACAGCGCTTTAACCAGCAACACCTTCTAATATGAAGCTTACTCACCAAGTAAAAATCAAAAAACAGAAGTGAGGAGGTTCGCCTGATCTACCCTGGTTAGCGATTGCAGGGGATGTTGAGCACGGCGTTCCCACTCGTGATCTGGTGAAGATGCATTACCTCGCGCCTTCAGCTAGGTGAGTCCATCAAAACTAATGTGGTCAGCGACCAATGTCAAAGACTTACAGAGCTATCGATTTCGGGGATTTGTTTACAGCTATAATATGTCATGTCTTCTCTCAAAGGACTCCTAGGAAGTGACTTGGACTAGCTCATTAGTGACGAATTTCAGCATTTGACTGAACAGAAGGTGTGTTTACTGTCTGTTGGGCTGTTTTTTGTCTCTGATTTTTGCGTACTACTGTAGGTCACCAACGAAGATGATCATTGTCGGATGATTGGGGCCTACCAGAGTAAGGCGGGAATGAAGTGACGAACCAGCTAACGTCGAAGTCACACCTTGCGGTCAGCATCTTACGCAGATTACCTCATTAACGTATCAAGGTAGTATAGATACTTCGAAGAATGTACAACACAAAGGACGTTATTAAGAGATATATTAGTTGAAGTAGATACAAGCGGATGTAAGACCACCACTTCATGGGGCAGTCCATGGCGTACAATTAATTGATGCTCGTTGGTTATCCTTGACCTTGACGGGGATCGATGATATGTTCTATAATCAGTGACTCAGCTGCAAGATAATTTCGCTAGGGTTCAGTGACATTTCACTGGCCCTGCACTATCTTAAAGGTTTGTGTTGGGATTGAACGTAAATGGGTATTTAAGGGAATGGTGAAGTGTTTAGGATGTTGTATATCAGTATAAGGTCACCTCAAAGACGCATGCACTTTAACGAGTAAACGTTCATTGATTAGAAGCGCTCTTCATAAGAGTATAGAGGATGGTTCTTCTGACATGTTTTTAATAAGGCAGGCTGTTACCAATTCGTTGAAACAAACATGCTCAATTAATGCGTAGGTAAACTATATGGATGGTGGAAAAGAGTCAAAATTATTAGTATTTACAGATCTACCAACCTTATTACTGCATAGTGAGGACTGGAAGCACTTTTGTGATGTTAATTTGTCTACGAATTTTCTCTTGTTGACAAGAAATGAATTTATTTCCTGTGTCTCTAATGTCTGCGTCCATTCTCGACCAGAAAAATTATTTCCTTATGAGTATTACAGAAGCTCGCATACTTGGGTATGACAGCGAATGAAGTCGCTGATATACTCTTCGTCTGCAAATTCATTGGTAAATAGGCAGTCGCTTCCACTAGAATCAAATTACGTAATGATAGCATCAAAGAAATGAATCGAAATGTATCGGAATATCAAGCACGACTTATACACATTTGCTATTGAAGTCCGTTGACCGCTGTGAAGTTTCAGAGATTGCTTTATGGTGGGATCTTGGTGATGCAACGAGGCCTTATTTTCGCATGACGGTAAAGTATTCTTTATGAAACCTCGATATTGTCAGTGGCCTTGACAATATAGTCTTAGTGTCTAGGTTCATGAAGAGGCGATCGTATTACGTACCTGTTGTAATTAGCGCTGTTACACGCCTTTACGATCAATGATAATCTTTCCAGTCATTTTTCGTCTATATCTGTGTTCATTAGCGTGTGTGTATGATAGCACGTATGTGTTTGTGTACTTGTTTGTATCCTTTGAGTTTGAAAATAGTCAGTCACATTTCCACTGGACTGAGTAGGCTGGGAAGCATTTCTTAATATTGCACCTCTGATAAACTATTTGGATGAATGAATGACTAGAATAAATTCTCTAAACTCAGTTCGTATATAGCATTTATCACCGCTGTTGCTCAAAAATGTTGGAAATATGAACTTAATCGGAGAATTTATGTTTCACGGTACATTCATAATGAGGTCGATGTGCAACCACTAAGGTGGAGAGCCCAGCTTAACTATACCTAAATGCCTAAAGAATATTTCATAGTTTATGGTTGGACAGAACCGTAGATGTAGAGCCAAAAGGAGGATGACTGAGAAGTTTTCCGGCAGGATATTTCACCAGGAATTGGCGACCAAATTTTCACGCGCGCTCTTCTGTGATAGATCTAGGAGTCACTATGAGCCCTGTGTGGGGGTGGCTCTGTAGTGTCGGTTACTATGTTAAGCCCATATACCTTATTCTAACTTTCGAACAGGTCAATCTATTCGTTCTACTTGAGTCATTTCTTGACCTTGATAATTAATCACTTATCAATCTTGGCTGTTTTATATGAGCGCATATTTGTGCGTTCTTATTATTCCACTATTCATCACATGTCTGTAGCCAATTTTTGTGTGACTATAAATATTGATTAACGCTTGACTAAATGTAGTTGGCTTACCTGCTATGTTCCATTCGCTTCTCCAATATTTCCTCTGGATCAAAGACTGTATGGAATATACGTATTCGAAATTCATTCTTGTATTTGACTTATTTAATTCAGTTAGTGGTTAACGTGATTCAAGCCGATGATTATATACGAGGATAGGTGACATATGCATTTTGACAGCAATCATTCAGTAACAATCATTCATACGATCTATTCGGAGTCAGATCCCCAGTCCACTAAAGCTCTACCATTTACTTGGTGTTGAACAAATGCTTTGATTACTGTTAGCGGAGCACCAGTACATAAAAGTAGGTTAGTCGAAAAGTGTTTGTTCGAATGTGATTGAGATATCGTGTGGTTAAAGACCACCACAAATATATCATACGTAATCCATTGAAACGTTTAGGTAGAGTTTTTCAGACCAAATCCCACTACTGAGAAGTCAACCTAACTGAAAGCCTTTTTAATGGCTGTTTCGAAGACTATTTAGTACTAAAGGAACCTCATGGTTTCCTGCCAATTATATCAAAACTGCAGTGAACTTATTTTCCGTACAGAGTTGAAGGATGACCACATAACTGAGATGTTAGGCAGGAATGTGGTGATTTGATGTTTATGTATACAGACCTGTGTATCAGCTTTTTTCTCAGAAAAGTGGTTTATTCGCTCAGCTTTACTTGTCTTCTTAGGTTTCTGTAAACAACAGTTACCTCTTCATAACCGCACTTCTTAAGGTATTTGAATAACTAGGTGACCAATATCAGCTGATACACCGATGCACTTAACAAAATCGAAAATCAATAGGGTCTAGTAGAAGAGATGGATACTGTAATAGCTTGTTTTGTTAATAACATTAACATCAAGATGCAGGGGCAATTGGCAGTGGCATATTCAACAGGTATGGGCATGAAAAGATAGGCTTTTATTCACTCACATGTTACTCCCCTTGATGAAATAGACGATCGGACATAAAAAAAAATCGGCGTTTACATTCTATTTGCTGACAGCTTCAGATCCTATTTAGTAATTCCCTGGGAAACATTAGGAATATTTCTTACATCAAGAGTCCGAATACCCTTACGACTTTCTGTAGAGCAAGGAAGGGTGCTGTGTGCAATCAGGAACCTCAAGAAAGGATATAGGGATACATAGATCTCAGGACGAAATAACTTTCTGAAATTCGGCTTTGGATAAAAATCACACAATATAAGACACAACGTAAGTTTTAAATTCATTGAAAAATCACGGATTTTGGAGTTCAGAAAGTTAGCGACTCGGCAAATAAATTATCCGCGGAGGTCTTGCTTGGTTCGCATCTATATTAAAAAAAGATTTTCAATTTACACTAGTTGAAAAATTAATAACAGTTACGTGAAGGCCACAAGAAGGATGAGGTACAATTACCGGTATAAGAATATCGATAGACTTCGTCCCAAGCTATTACGGTTGATCCTGTCAGTATTCATATTTTGGTAAGAAAAAACTACTGTATTTTATCTATTAGACCAGAGTTATTGAACTACCGATGACAGAGAGATCTGTGAACCATAAATCAAGAAAACCAGAAACCGATCAAAGTAACCATGAAATGTGATTCGCTTAACTGTGAATCTTTTTGATCATAACAACATTTAACCAAAGGAGTTTTGATATGGAGGTTTGCGTTTTATATCCCTCTCATCAATTCCTAACAAATTCAGTGACTTCATTTTTTGTCCCAGTTTGTCCATGTAAAATCAAGTGTCGAGTGGTGAGCTATTTGTTTTTTAGATCGTAAAGGGATTTGAAGACTGTACAACGATAAATTTTACGTTTTCGAATTTTGGTCGACTGTAATTTCGTTGATGAGATACGAATAATAGATGGGAATGAGAAGAAAAGTCCCCGCCATAAGATTAACCATAGCATATCACATAATAACTAAGGTCACCGGAAAGCCTTGTTACATCTGGACCGTGATAATTAGAAGTGTTTCCATTAGTACATGAAGAACTCTTGAATGGGTCAGCCATTAAATCCACCGGGCATCGAAGCAGCACACAGATCTTCCCATAAACGTCAACCCACCAACGAAGAAAGAAATCAGAATGGCCGTCAGACAAATCAAGTGCAGGAAAGCAGCGGGACCCGACAATATACCAGCTGAAGCACTAAAGTCAGACATCGAAGCAACTACAAACATGCTTCACCTTCTATTCAAAAAAAATTTGGGAGGAGGAACAGGTGCCGATTGACTAGAAAGAA